ACAAAATATGCACCCCAGTAAAAAGTGCGTTAAAAGTTCAAACATTTTGTAAGTTGAATAAGTAGTTAAATAGTTGAACAATTCCATACTTTCAAGTATCCTTCGTCGGTTAACAATCCTGCTATGCTGCTTAACATTCAACATTTAACTATGAAGCCATGACTTTTGAGGCCATTGCACCAGCTACTCTATGTAGTAAGTAGCAGCTGCAGTGACCTCTGTGGCATGTTTTTACAAAATTACTGGAAGTTGTGCAACAACTTCATTTTACTAATAGAATTTTGATAGCAACACTTGAATTGAAAATTTCAATTTGATCACACAAGTGGAAAGCTATTGTTAATTAAAAGGTAAATTTGTATATTCAAGCCACTTGTAACACAAAAATATTGTACAATTCGTTGCTTTATTGCAACTTCCAACTTCGGCTTAAAGTTGGCGAACTCGAGTACATAAAATATTTAAGAGAATATTGACCTCTCATTTCTCTAAGAAATTTTTTTGCCACCAACACTAACTGAGAATTTCTTTTCACTAGATAAGAGCGTGTTAGACTTGGCAATATTTCCAAACTTTTCCACGCGATTTGCTGTCAAATTGAGAAAGAGAAATTTTATTTCCACGTGTGAACAGCCAGAAAGACCTTTCTGTCATTTTTCGGAAATGAGTTTCAGAAATTAAAGTAGCAAGGTGCGACTGCAACTGAAAGCGCACAAATCCATTTCGGAAATATATTTCAACTTGTTCGCGATTGCACTAGCAATCTGCACTCTGCTTACAGATTTTTGTTTTTGCTTTGGAATTTTCGAGTTTATTCTCAGGAATTTTTTCGCGATTTTTCTGGACTTTTTCGAATTTAACGGGGTTCTTTGTGTTCAATTTTTTGTAATTTTTAGGGATTCTTCATGTTTTATTTCGCGGAATTTTTTCGGGACTGTTAAAGATTTTTCACGATTCTTATGTTTCAATTTTCGGGGTTTTCCGGGATTCTTATTGTTTTTGTTTAGGAGATTGTTGGGCCCCTCTGGAATTATTTTGGGGAGGCTTCGTCTTTTATTTTAAAGAATTTTTTCGGCAGATTTTGGATTTTTTTTTTGGATTTTCAAGATCATTCGTGACTTAGTTTCCGAAGTCTTTTGGGACTTTTAGGAATGTTTTGTGTTAAAGCTTTTGTTTTTTTTTCGGAAATTTTCGTATTTCTTCTTGTTTAGTTGTTTCGAATTTATAGTAATAAAATCGTACCTTTTCAGGATTTTATTTGGCACCTTTGGGAATTTTTTGGGGACCTTCACGTTTAAAATTACATATATTTAAAGCTAAATTTAACCTTGCAGGATCTTTAGTGCACTTTTCTTAGGGGTATAGAATTTCGTAGAGGGATAGCTGTCAAACGGGCTGTCAAAGTAAACAAAATTTGTTTGTTTGTTTGTTTGACCTTTATGTTCACTATATGTATCTGCTTTGGCAAATTTTAATGCAAAGACTTATGCCAAAACAACGTTTACAAATTGTGGAAATTTATTTACGAAATTCGCGTTCTGTATGGCAAGCCTACAGAGCACTTCACACATTTTACGGCGAACATATAAGCAGGCCAACGATTGGCCCCTTTTTCGCTTCTCCACGTCAATATCAATTGTCATATGTACAGTGACGAGCAAAACTGTAACATGATGTAACACTTTTTATTTCAGCCACCGCTATCTTTCATAGTTCTAACGACTTTCATACTTTTGTTGTATATTCTTATTGGTACACTCCTACTCCCGCTCTCATAACGATTTGAGGTCAATCCAACAACAATAAAAAAAACCTGGAGACAAAAATGTAAGTTAAGGCAAATGTTACAGTTTTGCACTCACTCTCAGTTTTGCATTTTACAGTTATCTTTTGCTTATTTGGAAGTCAGATGACTTTTTTCTGTATTGTAATTTATTCAAGAAGTGATCACCAATAAATAATATGGTTAATCAGGAAACATAAATGTAAATAATAGATTTACTGCGAAAAGGCGGGACCGCAGGGAAATTGGCAAAAAATTGTGGAGTTTGCCACATGAAAATGTTAAGACTGAGAAAAAATATAGCCTAAAGTGTTACTAAGGACAAATAAAGTCTGTCAAAATATATTACAGTCCGATATCTTGTGAACTTAGTAGCAAGTAGCGCTGCAGGCACTACTACAGAAGCGCTTAAGGTATTAAAATTGAATGCAAATCAGTAGATAGTGAGGCGAAAAATTGCCAAATTGAGCAAAATGGATCATAAAAGAAGAAAAAAAGCAAATTTGATCAAAATACATGTGCGAGTGTGGCAGCGTTTTGCTGCATCGCACGAAAACCGGACCGTTGCCTATTGGGATATGTTAGGCCTTACAGAATGCAATAAAAAACACATTTTTAAGATTTAATTGAGGGTTATTTGGTCTGACAAGACTAAATTAATAGCTTTCAATCAGATGGCCGGGCATGGTATTGGATCAAAGGCCCAAATTAAGCCTAAGCGCATCATGTAAGGCAAACTGTGAATCACAGTGGTCGGTCAATAATAGTTTGGGGTTGTATTTCAAAAATGTTGTTGATCCGTTTGTACGCATTATGCGTAAGGAACAGTATCTGTTCATATTTTAACAAAATTTGCAAGATGTAGTCGAAAAAATTAGAGTTTCTGCTGAAAAAGCAACCAAAACACACTGCACATATTCGCAAAGACTGGAACAAAAGCAGAAATTTGCTAATTTGAAATGACCTCCACAATCCGAGGACATGAATCTCATCGAGAATTTGCGAAATCAACTAAAAGCGCATCTTACTAAGTATCCAAGTCCGTCCAATGGAGTACATGAGCGGTGAAAGCACACCAAGGATATATGGGAGGCTATACCTCCAGAATTTTTACAGACATACACATTAGGTATGCCAAATTGCAACCAGGAACTAAATAAAGCAAAAGCATACTGAACATTGTGTTAATAATTCTTTTTTTTTTGTGAAAATTGTCAAAAAGTTATTAAAAATATATGAGTGCAAAACTGTAACATATGCCTTAATTTACATTTTTGTCTGCTGGTTTTGTAAATGTTGTTGAATTGACTTCAAATCGTTATGACAGAGGAGGCAAAGATGTACCAATAAAAATATACAACAACCGTATGAATGTCGTTAAAACTTGGAAGGATAGCGACAGCTGAAATAAAAAGTGTTACTCCATGTTACAGTTTTGTTCGTCACTGTACATACATAAGTGCTAATGGTTCCAGCAGAACGGTGCAACAAGCCAAGCAGCGCGTCAAACCTTCACTTTATTGGGACGAACCTTTGTTGAGCGAATCATATCAAGAACTGTGCTTGTCAACTGGCCATGTGATTGTGATTGCTCACTTAAAAATTTAGGAGTACCATCAATTTATTCATGATCCAATGATTGGAAGTTAACTAAATTCGTATAGGACCACCCTTGAGGAACCTCCTTTATGATAGAATCGCCGAAAACGGTTCACGTGACCCAAAGATATCCGCTAACATATGTACATACAAAAACTATATTCGGACGAACTGATGACCTCCTCCTCTTTTGATTCGGTTAAAAAGCTTAAGTACAAATGCCCTTAAATGCCTACAATTTTGTGTTTATTTTTCATATTTTATAACTCAATGTGCGCTCGAACAATCGTACTTTGGCCTTAGCTACTGCAGATCCTCATTTGTTCATTCAGCAATGGTAGAAGACAATAGTGGAAAAAGCTGTTGAGCCACGAAAATGCTAGTTCTTCGTTGCGGCTACAGTGGTTGCCATCAGATGACGCCTGTTTGGTTGTTAGCATGCGGTTTGCACTTAATTAAATTTCCTGTTTATTTCTTTGTATTTTTTATATGCCGCAAAGTGTTCGTAAGCTGTGGCAAGCCAATACAATAAAACATGCAATCATATATGTACATTTAAATGTGTACATAGTATGTGTATGTATGTACATATGTATGTATATCAGGGTGGTCCTTAAAAAATCAAATTAACGATTCTTTTTTCATTCTCACCCTCTCAATTGGTAATACCACGGCCGAAAATATAACATATAAATTTTGGTCCGAAATTAAATGCGATATCTTCAACTATAGTAACATCGACGTAGAGGTTCAGGCTTAGGACATCTGATGTAAAAATTTGCTTCCTACATTTAAGCGCCACCCTAATGTATATATGTACATACATATGTATATTTGAATGCATTTGCGGTAAGCCACACACACACACACACACATGTATGTATGTATGTATGCGAAAAGATTGCTTGAGTAATTGCTTGGTTTAGTTGCATTTTATTGTTTGGTGGTGTCAGCTTTTAGGCGCTGTAGCTTACATGCGGCCAGTGAGTGCTTATTTCACACACAACTGCACTCTGTATTCGTTTCAAGAACGATTTTTCAAGTTTAATTTGTGGTTTCCTATTTTCTTTTCTTTTCTACAGTTGCTTCCTTTCGGCTGCAACTTTTTTGTGTTGAATGAAAATAAATCTGAGGGATTTGTCTTTAGTTAGATAAATGTGGAAAAAGTTACGTGAAGTGAAAGCTGCTGTGGAGTAAGTTGCTAGTTTATTCAATTGTATTCAACTGCTTACGCGAGCTCATTAGGAAAATTGTAAAGTGTTAATTATTTAAGATATAAAAGGTTCCACATTCTCTAATCTAAGCTGCATTCCCCACAGTATTACCTGCTCTATATGGCTTTATAAATAATAAAATGAATTTTTTGTGAGCAAAGCCTATTTTCTACCTAGCCAAAGTAACAATAGCAGGACTTCTCTTAATGCTGATTGACATTTGTGCCATACTATGTATGTATATGTATATGTACCATTCATTGTGCAAGTATGTATGTATGTATGTGCCCAGCAAGATTAAAATTCCTTTCCTTTAATCCTGACATTTTCCTCATTTTCCAATCAACTGCATCAGATTACTATGCCTATAAAAGTCTCTACCAAATCCATACAAATTCTTGCAGCATCCGCAATGCGCTGACATCATTCGGCCAAAGAGGAAGAAACCTGTCAACGTCACATTTGCAACAAACTAATCAATTGGATCAGTTGCAGGCAGGTCAAGTAAGCAGCAGCAAATGCATAGAAAATCATCACTGCTCTTTACACAGGCAAACGAAGCCAATGAACACAAATAAGTAATTTTACAACATGTCTCCTGGCTACGATGGAGTTCAACATTCGGCGCTAGTTTAACGGTTAGGCTAACAGCTAACAATTTTCCATCAGGAAGCCTTGCAGCGCTTGCTCCTTCATCATCTAAACTGGATTTACTACCCTTACATATTCAGTGAAAAGTGATTTGTTATTTCAAATAGGTAAATATTTCACCATTGGTATTTGTATGTATTTATGTAGGAATTGTGCATAGAAAATAAGATGTGTTACATAGTAAATAGTTGTATGCTCTTGATGATGCTATTGAAATTTGATAAATAAAAGGGATTCCAATGATGCCGGCAATGTATTTCAAATGATTTGTTGTGGTTAATGATGTGCTTTATTAATTACCAATTGCAACAAATGTGAATGGCACATTAATTAGGTTGGTCTGCGAGTAATGCAAAACAAGCGCAGTAATTAGTAACATATGTATATGTATGTGTATGTAGGTATGTATATACATACATATGCAGGTTAGGTTATGTTAGGTTAGACGAGATACATATGATTGCCCTCTGCGGGTGACTGCCAGGAGGAGGCACATTCCTCTAACCAGGGCGCTCAGGGTATTACAGAAAAAATAATGAAGTCATTAAACTGCAGCGTCACTGCTTATCTCTAATGAAATTGTTTGTAAGAGCTCGATCTTCGATATCTATGCCAGAGTGGTGAAGAAACGTGACCCCTCTACTGCAGTCCCGGATATTGCTATTCAATTGATTCCTTCTCATTCTCATGTCGGTACGAAGAGGTAACTCGTATCCCCAACCGCTAAAACTCTTTCTGCAGATTTGTTGAGTTCCAGAATGTCTTCCTTCTTTTTCCTTGGAATTTCACAAAATCTTGATAAGCTATTTGTAACGGGTTTAGTACTTTCATACATTTATAAACTTTCCTAATATCAGCACAAAACGGTGGCTGTAAAGAGTTGCTCGACTCATTTATTGGCATCTCAGAGCTATGCCGAATAACTGTTACACAGATTTTTTTTTTTCAAAAATAAAAAGTTCCATTATACATATATTTTGGGAAAAAAGCATTTACCTGTCAATTTTCCACAGATTTTACTTCCCTTTTATTAATTACTTCCAAAAAAGGAGGAGGTTATCAGTTCGTCGGAATATTTTTTTATTTTTATTTTTTTTTTTTTTTATGTATGTTATCGCATAACTTTGGACTACGTCAACCGATTTCGATAATTCTTTTTGCATCGGAAAGGTAGTGTCTCAGAGGTGGCCCCATACTAATCTGGTTAAGATCCGATCAGCGGATCATGAGATATTTATATATATATTTTTTTTTTTATATGAGAGTTGAAGTCGGTTTTTTTTTGCTAAAAATTACTAGTTAAATTTTAACCTTTATTTGGGTTTGGCAGAGATAAACACTTTGAGAAAAAAGCGCAAGCGGCACCGCAAGTCTTCGTCGGTTAATTTATTCCATATCTTCTGTAACCATAGGCACCAAATTTTGGGCAAATGCCCAATCGCGTGACACTGCCTTTACACTTTATTGTTTTATTTCATCCCCTGGGGGTCCACCTATACCACTTTGGGAATCACTGGTTTAAAGCGATTCTCGATCAGTAAAGGCTTTTTCTGAGCAAAATTTTTTTCTCAGCTATACAACTTTGTGAGAAAACTTTTTACAGTAAAAATTTGTTGACAAAACATTTCATTTTCATTTAAAAATCGAATCATAGCCCTATGTGAAGGGATGTTTTCACCTCCCGTTTTCACCGAACAGGAATTGGCGCCCAGAATAATAGCTGAGTGTTTCGCTGCGGAGTAGAGATTCAAAGCAGCTTCCTTCCAGTTCTGTTTTAAAGGGAAAATTCGCGAAGATATGATACATAAGTATACGAATCTTTCCAAAGAGTGTTATAAAAATATTTGAAAATGCGTGAAAACGGCACTTAACTCTTAAAGCAATTCAGGTAGATGATTAACTTACTTGATTGCGCTGTATGATGTTTGCATTCACTTTTACAACTTTCGTTGATGAAGACATTTTTTTAATTATATACATATATATGTAGGTACATATGTATTTTAGAAATTGATATTTTTTTATTTTTTCATGCAAATTTTTGTAGACACATAAATGCATGGAATGGCAATTAGACAATTATTTGCACACACAAACATACATACATATGTACATACGTTTTATGCGTGTGGAGTTCATCGCCCAATGGAATGTTGATTGGTTGAATTGATTTTTATTGATGGTTTACATATGTCCATACATAGTACATCTTAATTGAGAGGATGAGTCGATGACTATGATGAAAAATATCTACAAAAATGTATTGAAATAATAGGCTTGTAAGATTTTTTAAATGAAAAAAAGTAAACCACTTTTACAAGATAAAAATTTTTTCGATTTTATTTTCAAATCGCAATTATCGTGCTTTTGAATTCATTATATACAAAATTTGCATATCAGATGCTGTTTCAAATTTAAGAAATAGTACCTCATAACTTATAAAAACTTCCTAATGGTTTTATATGAATACTTTAGAATTGAAGATACACAGCCAACTTTTTTTCTTCTAACATAGATGGCCGGACTGATTACTTAGTTCCTTGGAAAGCAAATGAGGACGATGTTGAAAAATTTGTTTTGCAATTTGTAGCAATTGAAGTACAAATTAAAGAAAAAATGTTTAATATCGGAAAACTAAAAAGTCACATATGTGCCGAATTTAATGAACTAGCAAAAGCTTTGCCATCAGGCATTATCTTTGCACCTATCAATCCACGTTGAGTATATTCATCTATGCGTATAATTAGGTGCAAAATTAGTACAATTATTTTATAAAAAATTTAGGTAGTGGCAACAGCAAGGCTGAGAGATAAATATGTTGAGATAATGAAAAGTTATAATTTAAAAACTGCCACTTGTTTGTGATGCTTAATTTCATGCTGAAACCACATAGCCGGGTGTTCAAATAAAATTGATTATTACATATTGCGAGTCGCGGCGACAGTAATCAGCGAATGCCTTTTGAAAACAAAAACAGTGAAATATGCAAAAAAAATAATAAGAAAGAAAAAATGGTTGAAATTATAAAATAATATTTCCGGTGGCAAAAACTTATCCAGCAGAGGGATACGCGAAAGCACGGCGATAAATAAAAACAAAAAAAGTATTAATATATATGTATTGCAAAATATGTGCATATGTCATAAATTTGTCAAATAGAAATTAATGACGTTCGCTGGTAGCATAATTTATGGATACACTCGCACACACCTAAGGGTGTATAATCAAATTAGTATGCCAGCGATTATGCAATGCAGCAAATAGCTGTGATAGAAGTAAAATTATTAGTTTTATTTATGCAACTAAATTGAATGAATTACGAGTGATTCAACAATAAATAATGCACAGAGTATGCATGAATGAGTGCTTTTGATTCAGCGAAGCGTGTGTGTGTGTGTGTGTGGTTGTGCGTCACACTATTGAGCTACTAATTCAATAGTTGCCATTATTTGCACTCAGTGGATAAGCGCATCGAAAATTATATATTAAATATAAACAATTGAAATAAAAGTGGGGTTTTGTGTTTGTTTAGCAAAAAAAAAAAAACGAACGAGGCTTGATTTAATTAGGCAACCATTTTTGAGTGTATTTGTTCTCAATTCGGCGTTAAGCGGAGCATCGCAGGCAGACAATATGAATTGTTCTCTAATAATAATGGCAAAACATTTGCCAAAATTAAAATGCAAATTGCAACTTGTCGACTGTCATGTCGCTACAGCCACCGACCGCGCCACCCCGCCATGTGAAAGTGGGCGTGGAATTACACCGTCTGACTTGCGGAAGGTGATGGATATAAAATCAAATCAATGAAGTTAACTATTGTAAAGCTCATGCATGCATTGCTGCCACAACATGTCAGGCTGTTTGCCACTACGCCGATCATGTAATAGATACATACAGTTGTCTACAAAATAATAGGAGTGCGATATTTTGACCAGTTTTGGCTATTTTTCTTTAGTTTATTTAATGCTTGATATTTTTTTTATAAAAGTCTAGATGGGTATACAACAAACACCAAATAAATTCAGATTTCAATTTTTGTAGAAAAATGATAAGAATTATGCAAATTTTCACCAAAATTTCAAACTTAAAAAAAAATTAGAAAAAATTTGGTATGCATTTTTCTAGCCCATTTAATTCTAGTATAACGAAAAGCAAGTTTCAAGTTGGTAAAAAAAAACCATATGTACGTACATATGGACATGTGAAAAATAATAGCGACACGATATTTTGACCAATCTTTAGTATTTTTCTTTTGTTTGTTTAATTTTCACAATTTTTTTTTTATAAAAATACAGCTCATTATCTAACAAAACCTATATAAGTCTAAATTTTAAACTTTTTAGAATATTTAGAAGAATTAAAAAAAAAAATACAACAACAGCATTGCATTTTTGTAGCCCATTAAATTCTAGCTTAACAAAGTACAAATTTCCAGTGGCTAAGAATTCGCGTTGATTTTTGATAATTTTTTTCGCGGATGGTATTATTTTCTTCCATAAAAAAATTGTCGAACATAAATATTTACATATGTACATATTTTGTATGGAAGAAAACGCGTGACACCGTCAACAAAAAATATCAAATATCAACGCGAATACTAAGCTACTCGAAACTTGCACCGTATTAAGCTAGAGTTTAATGGGCTATAAAAATGCATACTTCGAATTTTTCTTAAAATTCTTATTAAAAAGGTTGTTGTAAAATTTTTTTTTTGAATTTTTCTAAGAAGAATAATGGTAAAAATGTCCGCGCTCCTATTATTTTTCACATGACTGTATGTTGCAGTGAAAGGCGCATTATGACTCCACCAGCTCATCACACGGCCTGTATTGGTCTGCAGCTAAAGTTACTGCTTCTGATGATGTAATTATCTAGTGGCGGCAGTCAGTTGGTCCATTACATCACTGTGCGTTGGTCAGCCACAGTCAATCTGTTCGTTGAAACGTTGAAATGTGGTGGCATAAATCCTTTCGACCGAAAGCGAAACCAAATAAATACATACATATAGATATTGTAGCAATTAATCAAATAACAGCAAATACGACCAGAACTATCCCAA